AACCGGAAATAACATGTCTGAGGGACATGCGCGACATACGTCAACTGTGCCGTCCCTCAGAATGTTGCTCCGGTAGTTGTTCGTTTTAATTACTTCATCTTGTATTGCACAGATAAAACCTTCAGTTTCTGCAAAAAGGTCACCAAATTGTAACCAATGTACTGATGCAACCATATCTACACAAGGATTAGTCAATGCTTTAAAAAATCGACCATGCAGTTGTTTGTCATTCCAAACCTTTTTGAGTTCATCCACAATCATAAGGCCTCTGCCAGTCCTTTGCCGACATATTAAGCGGGGTTAATGATTTGTCATTAATCGTTACGTCATTATGAAAGTGTGATGTGTCTTTTTTTAATAAAATACGCTCTGAGGTTGTATACTTCACGGTTGTGCAGGTTTTTAATGTTTAATAAGCCCCGTCCACGATCTTTTCTTGGAAGATACAACCTCATGACAGATGATCGTGGGTGGTGCATTCTGTGTGTAGTCATTAATGTACGGACTCGTCTATCTAAGTCATCCAATTCTGTTTGAGACCACCTTGTAACACCAAAAGTATATAGAAGGCTAGGTATTACCCAGGAGTTATATGCTCTAATTTTGTTTCCGCCGGATAAATGACTTTTGATAACTTTTTTTAATCTTGACATAAATTTTACTTTTGAATTTTCTTTAATATTTTTGTCATTAATTCCTAGTGCTTCTGCTATGCCCAAGTTTTTATAGGTTTCTGTTTCAGAAAGAGAACTGAAGTGTAAGTCATTTGTAATTGCAAATTTATTACAATCTTTAATGTTGCCCCTATTTACGTTGATGACAGCACATTTATCTATTCCAAATTCCATTCTAATATCATTGTTGAAACTATGTGTTAATTTCAACAATAATAGTAGATTACTCTCTTTTGATGTGAATAGTTTGAGATCATCCATATAAAGTAGATGTGAGATCGGTGAGTTTTCTTTTCGAAACCGAAACCCTAATCCGGATTCCTCAATAGCAGTGCTTAAAGGATTCAGGGCTAAACAAATCAAAGTTGGGCTCAAACTATCTCCCCTGGAATATACCTCGTTTAATATTTATAGAGTCTATCGAACTACTTTGCCACTCACCTGGTAGATTTAGGATAGTGTTCCACTGACCCATTAATTTACTTAAAAACTTACAAATTTTGCCATCTATTTTATATATTTGTAAAACTCTCTTTAGCCATTAATGTGGAACAGAGTCATATGCCTTTTTGTAATCCACCCAAGCAGCGGACATATTTTTGCGATTACGATAGACTTGTCGGCAAATAGCAGTGTCAATGAGAAGAAGTTCTTACTTTTTTTTTTAGCCAAGTTGCAAGCGTTTTATAAAAAGTGTTTACTACCTGAAATTATCGACTCGAGATAAGCTCGGTCAATGCCGTTGCGGTAAATATGTTTATAATAAAAAATATGTTTATTGACTGTAAGTATCGATTAAAAAATACTAGTTACATTTGGTTGTTTTATTTATTCAAACAGGTTGCAACCGTACTATTTATTTATTTATACTACTATGCTACCGTTAGTAGATATAATCGATTTTTAACCAATATCGGTTAACAATCGATTACTGCGTAAACAATTAAAATATTTATGTGTACTTATTTCAACGCCAAGGTTCATAAATAATAAAAAGTAAATATCAAAATAGATTATAATGAATTAATTAGATAACATAAAAATGACACACCAAAAATTTTCCATCCACTGAACTCCATCCTAAGAAAACTTGTATAATGAAAGATCAAGATCGTTTACTCGCTATACTCACATTATCATAGTGTGAGCGAGTGATAGATTTCTTAAATTTACGCGAACACTACACTTTCAATAAAACTATTTCTATGTTTACGTCGACGACGGTCACGGAGGGGAACTGTTCTATATATTATCTACGAGGGGAACTGAGATGTTTGACGATGTCATAGTTAGCCCGGCTACCTTCAGTTTTCGAATATTAATTTTTGGTCCGATCTACGTAGAACGAGGTTCGGATTTAATTTTGTTATTTTTTTTAGAGTAGGGTGTCAAACGAGCACACAGTTCACCTGATGGTAAGTCGATGCTGTGACCCATTGACATCTACATTTATCCTCTATCAAGAATCAAAACGCGCATCCGTTATTACCCCTGAGGCATAAGATGGAATGCCTCGTTTCCAGTAAAAAAGGGTCTTCGGATCTCTACACTCACCATACGAAACACAGCAGCATTAAGCTGCTATTTTACGCTGATATTCTGTGAGAGCGTGGTCATTCCTCGGTCGAGCCGACCCATTCGTGCTACAACCATAATATAGGTGCAGCTTGACCTACCACGTTAAAAAATATAGGATCCCAAGCAGTTGGTAGCACCCACACATTTCTCTATAGAAATTATGATGTTTTCTTTTTAATTTCATTGGCCTCCGTATCATTGCAATTTGCAACTAGATCGCGTTTACCCTGAATTAAAAAAATTGTTACAACCATAGGTTATATAAAAGGTATTGAATACAATTTTTCTTCATTTTAGAATGCGTAGCATTTATAAATTAAGTATTCGAGTATATAGGTGTAAAGTGTTTTGAGCGCTGAATACTTTTAATTTTTTTCCTGTTTCTAACAAACGCGTCAGTAATGTCTTTCACGCAAAATTTCGGTCATAGCAGCCTGTCTCAACGTAGTCCAGTCATGTATGCAGGACATTGAGACTTTATGTACGAATCTTGTGGTAAAGAGTGTTCTATAATACTTATGTATGTAGCAATGCAGTACCTAGAAAATACTTTTATGACGTAGGACAAAACACTTTCTCCTCCCTCACTCTCATAGTCTGATGGGACGGTAAACCAACACAAATATAGAGAGATCCAAGTGCGTGACGTGCTTTCTGAGGCACAGGAATTAAACACCGATAAAATCCTTATTCCGGCCCGCTACTGAGAATTTTTTTAATAGATAACCCAACTTATTTTGGGTCCGATCACACTTATTACATAAGGTCAAGAGACTTTCCTCGATTGAGTTTTGTTTTATTTCTTATTTGTTTGCAGAACGAGACAGAAACAGAAACTTTTTTATTCAATGTAGATTATAAACAATACTTATTGAAAGTCACTTTTTTCATTTACCACTGGTTCGCAAAAAAAATCTGTCCTGGGAAGAACCAGCAAGAAACCCAGCGGGACTATTTATTTTTTCAAATAATAGCTTACAATCATGTTTACAATTAACAACACAAGACAAATTAGAAATAACTTGGAAGCGATCACCCTTCCCAATTTTTATACAAACTTAATTTAATAAAATTTTTGAACTTTGCGTATGACAAATTTTGTATATTTTCTGGGATTTTGTTTGAGACTTAATATATCTTCTTAAATTCTATTCTTACGTAATGTCATTCATTTTGTCAGTGTAATAAGGTACTTAATTTTATATAAGTCGGCATAAGAATGTTGTTTTCATTTCAAATATATTTTTTAATATTGGTGCCTCATACCGTAGTACCAATAAAATAATGATGGAGGTCGCTTATTTAGAGCAATCCTTATTCGTTGTATGGGAACCGATTTTTGGCTAGAGGAATTCGCGATCAAATTGTCGATTATGTTATGAGGTCATTTTGTTGTTTATTTACAACCAGCGACCCGCCAACAATGATCTATTAATGTGGTGTTAAAGGTAAATATTTAAGAAAATCAAAGACCATACATTTTATAAATTTCTGGTTTGGAACAAGCAATAAAACCTCAAGTTTTTCAGTAAAAATACCCTGTATACCTCCTTGAATTGCTCTCTGTCTGTTCGTAACATTTCAATGCAATCGGTTTAGGCCATTTCGAAGATAAACCCGGACGGACACACCTAAGCTTAGTAGAAACCAGTTATTTTAATAATACAGACTGATAATTCCATTTTATTTATATGAAACATAAGCATATATAGTTTGCTCAATTCGTTTCTTGATTAGTTTTTTCTTCGTTAGTTAGTCTGATTGGCTGACTAACAAAATATTTTAATGCAGATTAATATCTTTTCAGATCTTTGTCACAGTTAAAAGTACAAATAACTTATCATAACAAAAGTATTAGTAATTTTGTTATGACTTACCACGTGTACGTAGTCGCGGGCGCAGTTAGTAAATATATATACTAAAGCCCGCTGCTATATATATGCCCCATAGTTTGATTCATAGAGGGGTAATTTGTGATAATTGCCATTTTGTGAGTTCGCAGCCGCGGTTTTTTTTATTCGTTATTAGGAAGACGTTGCATCTCATCTGCTGACTTCTTTCCTTCTGTTGCCTCTAACGACACTTACTGGATGATATGGAGTAGTGGATATTCTAACACCGCCATTACATGCTAAACTTGTTTATTAATATAGATACTCGTAGTATAAATTGAGTCGCCACCTGGTAAGACATGCAGGAAGTCGATGAATACAGGCACTGTCTCAGGACCGTGCTTTGTTGCGTTCCTTGTTGGCTGTAATGAATGAATGAATGAATGTATGAATGAATGAATATTAATTTTGACAGAATCAAAGATAAAAATAGTTTAATAAAGTGTATTTGTTTGTTAGTGCGCAGCTGGGCGCGCCGCGTGGCAGGAAGCGGCGGCCGTCTCGGTGGGCGGCGGTGCCGGCGGCGCGGGCGGCGCTGCCCGTCGCTGCTCAGTGCTCGGCGACCACCCCGGCGCCAGGCGCGACCCGCGCACCAAGTGGCACCGCACCAACCGGGTAATCATCAAGAGAACAAAACGCGCCCCACTGCATGGCACAGCTCACCGCGTCAAAAAAGTACGAATCTTCTATACCGAGATCGACAGTCTCCCCCGAGTAGAACCCTCTGTCGTAGTGGACTTGACTTACCTATAGTTACCCACAATGAATTTTCTTCCTTAACGAATCTATTCTATGTTGATGAATAACGGAAAACAGATGATTTGGTCCAGTTAGTATTATTTCAAAAATGTTGGTGATGGTTTGTTACATTTGTTATATTATTTATTGTAGAGCTCCTTCGTAAAACTAAACTTTTGGTGATTACTTAAATATCTATTTTCACTTTTCCTAATGTTCCATATTAGATTGACCACTCTAAAGCTTTTTGTTTGAAGCAATGTAATTAATAGTTGAGCAAATTTTTATTATTAACACACGTATTTGGTGAAGTCTATTAAATAACACTTGTTAATGATAAATTTCACTAAGTGTTTTTGTTATTTTTATAATGCAATTTTGCACGTTTAGAAAGCTTTTCGCTACTTTTTATTTGCATCGCCTTCCTTGAATTTTTATATTAGATCCCGTCTTCTGCAATAATATTTTTTATTTTGAAATAAATTACATGCTTATATTTGGATTGGATGGTGTTTAAAATTTTAATGTTTTAGAGCTAAGTAAATATTTCTATACTAGCCAAATAAATAGCTGTGCCTAATTCAAACTTAAAATAATAAACGAAATAAAACTCAAAAAATGTTTGATTAACCTAAGCTCAGTCACAAAATTGCTTTGCCAAAGTTATAAAATTTATGTTTGCGGAAATCATGTAAATATTCGAAACTAGCTGTTGCTTTACATATTTGGTTGATCTTACAGGTTCGGGACGCTTCCTATGGTTCTTCTTCAGAATCAGACGGGGAAGCGGAGGGCGTGAGTGGGGAGCCGTGGGGTGTCGCAAGACTGTTATACGCTGGCCTAGCAACACTAGCTGTCGGTCTCGTCGTTTACTTTGTTGGCACCGGCGACAAGGTAAAACATGTTCTATTGTATGTTCCATCCATCCCCTAGAAAAAAAGTCATTGCTGGACATAGAAGTTTTACTATATTCACAGTCCTCGGCTTGGGTTTATGGTCGCATCAGTAGGTTTATTTTTGAGCAACTGACTTAAAACAGAATTGACTGATCGAGTTTGTTGGATAGTTGTTGACATTAAATAAAACGATAGAATCCATGAAAAAAAGGAAAAATATTATTATAGAATATTTTTATAGAATAAGGGCAACAAACGAGCACACAGTCAACGTGATGGTAAGTGGATTCTGTGGCCGATAGACACATACTCGTATATTATCGAATAAGAACCAAAATGTAGATGCTTTGTCACCCCTGATGACTAAGATATAATGCCTCGTTTCCAGTAAAAAGGATATCCGGTTCTCTACACTCACCATACGAAGCACAGCAGCATTAATCTATTATACAGATGAAAGGTCCCCAAATGTTCAAACACCTACGTCTTGATCTATTGAATCTAAATAAAAATAGCTGCTGTATGATATTTGTGGCACAGTGAACCCTACTTGCCATCATGTTCGTTTGTTGAATATTCTTAATCTCTATATATAAAAATAAATTGCACTCCGTTAGTTTCACTAAAACTCAAAAATGGCTCGGTCGATGTTGATGAAATTTTTTGTGTGTCTTTAAATGGGTTCCTAGATGGTTTAGATTCTCATTTGGACTCGGTAAGCGGCACTGTTGTCGACACCCAGAAGTTAACCTTGCGATGACGGGGCAGATTGCTAGTAGAATATTTAATACGTATTCATCAATTAAGAAATACCCGTGAGCCGAAGTAGCTCAGATGGTTAACAATCGCTGTAAATATAACAGAACGCGAGTAACCCGCGTTCGATCCCCGCCGGCACCAATGAGATTGTTAATTGCAATTTTAAGTGCTGATTTACCACGTGCTCGGCGGTGAAGGAAAACATCGTGAGGAAACCTGCATGTCTGAGGAATAAGAGAAAAAAATATTTCGAAAACATGTGAAGTTCGCCAACACGCTTCGGGGCAGCGCGGCGGACACTTCCTTACCCCAAAACCCTCTCAGAAATGCAGCAGTGGGACGTATATAGGCTGTAACTTTAAAATTAAGAAAAAAAGTTAAAATAAGCCAGTAGCGTGTGAAATGTTTAGAATTTTACAGTCCCGTTATTTATGTCTTAGTGTACACTTTTTCCCCTAATAAGAGGAATACCAACATAAAAAATTAAATTAGGAAAGATTATTATCGAACATAGCGCAATGTACAATAACATTGATATAAAACATTGTTGGTGTCAAACTTTCTTGTCGGAAATTTATTTCACTCCTTTAAGGTTGATGGGACCTGATTCGTACAAAAAGATATGCTTCGTCATCTTTAGTGTGCAGAGGAATAGAATAGAATTTGGCGCCGGCGTCAAAATCTGGCAAAAATTATAGACGAAAATTGGTATATTTAGATCTATTGAAGACGAGAGTCAGTAGGTATTTTGCTAGACGAACATGGTGGAGTCACGCTGCAGCTATATTATTGTTGTAGCACGAATGAGTCGACTCAACCGCGGTAGAAATCTCTCACAGAATACCAGCGTAAAATAGCAGCATAATGCTGCTGTTCTGAAAACCCTTCTTAGTGGAAGTGAGGTATTCCATAATACTCCTCAGGGGTGACGACGCATCTGCATTTTGATTCTTAACGTAGACAAATGTAAATGAATGTGAACCACAACATCCACTTACCACAGGATGGACTGTGTTCCCGTTTATCTTGTATATTATCCCTATATTTTATAAAATAAAAAAATGCGGTGAAAGCGGTGAAAGCGGTGAATGCGGTGCGGTGAAAAGTGGGTTTGAGGTAAAATATTCCGCTAAATACAAATTAATGTCTACACAACTTCTGGATCACTGGATCTTTAACTTAATTTTGTTTATCCCATGTTAATGAAGACGAGAACGAAGACGATTTTACGACCGTGATGCCTACCGTTTGGAGCACCTGGCAAATTACTAAAAACACAAATTACTGGTTGTCTGCAATAATTTCGTCCAGATCTCTATATGTCTATGTCCCTATTTCTCTAACACTGTGTTCTACTGTATATCGGATCATATCTATTTTTTTTAAGTTAACGTGTCGACTTATAGGTCTCATGTTTGTGTGAGAATTATAACAAAAAAGATGTGTCAACTGACAGGCCACGCGGGTCATCATTGACTTACCTAGCGTATAGTATTAAAGTACTAATGGCTTTGTGATTGTGTAAGCGATGATAGCTATTTTTCACCACTTTGGGTAAACGTGGTTCGAGGTACTCGCTGCGCTTTTAAATCTACCTACCCCCTGGGGATTACAGGCATTGAGTTATACAACACCATAATGATGAAATAAAACATATTTTTATAAGTATTTTTATTGTGCTAATAAATCAAACAATATAAAATAGGTAATAAAATATAATTAATATAAAATTTATATGAAATTGTAATTAATATAAAATAGTTTAATAGATAATTTATGAATAAACTGAAATAAGAATAATTAATTATTTTCTATGAAAGTTAAAACGTAGTTTTTATTATAATTTCCAAAATACTAAAAATCACAGATAACAAATTAAATTACTCCATTAATTATATAGTCTCCCATTAACGTAGGATAATCACAAATGCGGATAAATGGCAACATTGAACCTAAATGGCAATATTCGATAATTTTATTTAATTATTTGAGGTTTTTACGAGTACGTTTATATGAAAACAAGAACTACTTAAAAATTATGTGTTGAAACGTTGAAAGTGATTCCGCTTGATTTATTACGTTTTTGTGACCTTGAATAGCATTCTTTCACTACCTACGCATTTACCCATTTTTGTCGCGGCTCAATTCTGTCGGCGTTACATTGAACACTGAACTGACATTAGCTAGGCATATGACTGTGGCCATATGTGCAGTGGCATCGCTTTGGCGCGGTTATTACTGATCTAGTGTAATATATAAATCAAGGATTACAGGTGTAATACTACGCAACTATAATTTCTTACAACGTCACTGTATATGGGTAAGGTCTTAAAAAAGTGTAAATAACGCACTGGAAGATATAACACACGATAACGCAATAACGTACTGGAATAATATAAAGGTTAATGTACACTTGGAAAAAGGTTTATGTAAAATTCATTTTAAAATATTATCAATTACTTATTTTCATGAAATTAAGATTAAATAATCAAAAACGAATCTTAGACTATGCATATCTTGCATGTTTGCGAAACTAAACACCAAAATAACACAACACAGAATTAAAGCCTTTAACAAAATAATGTGCTTACAAAAAACAGTAGGTACTAATCAAAGTAGGTTATTCATAAAAGAAATATAACAAATTTAACAAATATGTGTTTACAGTTTACAATTAGTACAGATACCGTAATTTTTACCATTTATCACAGAATTTTGTTTTACTGTTTTTTTCTTTTTTTTTTAATTATAAGGGCTATCCCATTTGAGACTTCGCGTTCGCACAGAGCCATATTTAAGAAGAAATTGAAATTTAAAATGCATTTTTTTAATGTAATCAATAGGCGAACTATAATACAGTATTAATTTAATATGTAATGATTTAAAAAAAACCGGCCAAGAGCGTGTCGGGCCACGCTCAGTGTAGGGTTCCGTAGTTTCCCGTCCGTCACAATAAGTGTTCCCACTTATGAGTTTAAAGGTGGGTATCCATTATGTTCACGCTCCAGCAGCGCTCCGCGCTCCTGCACTGCTCCCGGTAGTGGGTACTGTTGTTTCCATCCAAGTTCAAAATGATTTTCCTAGAAAGTCCTTATAAAGTTCTACTTTTCAGATTTTTTTCATATTTTCTAAACTTATGGTTCAAAAGTTAGAGGGGGGGGGGACACATTGTTTTTTACTTTTGGAGCGATTATTTCCGAATTTATTGACATTATCAAAAAATGATTTTAGTAAACCCCTATTCATTTTTAAATACCTTTCCAACAATATATCACACGTTAGGGTTGAAATTTAAAAAAAAATCACTTCCCACTTTACATATAGGGGGGCTACCCTAATAAAACATTTTTTTCCAATTTTTATTTTACCACTTTGTCGGCGTGATTGATACACATATTTGTACCAAATTTCAGCTTTCTAGTGCTAACGGTCACAGAGATTAAGCGAGGACGGACAGACGGACAGACAGACATGGCGAAACTATAAGGGTTCCTAGTTGCCTACGGAACCCTAAAAAACTTTTTGTGTTTATCTAATAAACTCAGCATACAAATATAATAAAGCCACATTAAAAATGTGTTTTTAACAGTAACTTATTTATGTTTTGCCATTTGATAAAATTTAAATAAATGCTTCTCATCATTTAAACATTTTTTATATTATAGTCCTGTGCGAGTGGAAAAGTTGACGAAAGGCGACGACCTCTTAATTAAAAACGAACCTAGTTCGGCTACTGAAGGACCTATAGTAATAATAAATCAGAATAGTATAACACTCCACTCTTATGTAGGTACGTCAGAATAACATTACACCCTTTGAAAATGAATTTCACCGTAGTCGGTTAAGTTATGTGAACAGCCTCCGTTATAAAATTCCAGTGTGTGACATAACAATCACCATAACACACGTAACGAACTGGAACAAACACACTCGAAAATTCAAAACTCAACAATGAATAGCGGTCATAAATGATGCGCGACTTACTTAATAAAACTTGACATACACTGGTAATTGACTATAAATTTCGAATCAGTAATCTAGTAAACGATATCTTTGCACTTCTCACGTAGAATTGACATACACATTGCCCGTTTGTGCTCTAAATTATGGAATTTACAACTGTTTACGGTCACAACTACAAATGAAAAACATATGTCAAAACTGACATTTGACAGTAAGCCTACGGCATTGCCTCATCGAAAGTAGGTCAATAATGTTGTTTAATGTTGAATACAAAAAATCTATCCCATATCGAATCGGAGTAACACACTGGATAACTTTTGGAGACACAAATTAGAATGAGGTTTTTTCCACTAGCATTGTATTATTGCAATAATTTATACATTATCACACGGCATCTTTATTGCTTTCAAAGTAAACTACAATTTTAAAACCATAATGCTATATTATTCTTATTTGTTACATTTTTTCGTCCTATAAGCTGATAGGAGACAATTAAATTTTGTATGCAGCTTTATTTTGTTGATTCAAAACTATTTTTTATTTTTTATGTTTAAGCCTCTTGAATATTATGGTTATTTCTACATTATTCTAAACATGATTATCAATGTTTTATTAATTAATAATATTATCATACTTTTTGTTAGCGTATGGTATTCACAATCAAACATGGGCCCACTCAAAACTTTCAAAAAGTACATTTTTTACGACCTTACCCATATCCGAATACTTTTACATACAAATATTGCAGAAAGGGGAACGTTTCAATGATTTGTGGATGTTAAAATGGATGTAAATATTGGTTTGGATCTATCTGATCTTAAACAAGCACCGAAATCTATAAAATGTATTGTTGTGTCACGCATGCATGTTTATATTAATTAGCGTACGTTTAGCGCTGCATCAATGATTTATAAAATTAAACTTATTTAAATTATTATTTTCTATTCTATAATATTCTTAAATTATATATCTATCAGTGGTAATAAATTATATTATATGTACCAATCCGGCAGTGGCCAGATGATAAAAATATGGTTAAGGCATTGCTATCGCCTCATTACCTTAAAGTGTCTGTGCAAGAGAATCGAACACTTCTCCGATTTCGTCCTTTGGGTGACAGAATCTATTAAATAAATACACTGAAGATTTGGCGACTTTCAATAGATTGAGCGATAGCCATTTCGCTTACGGATACCATATTAGGTTTACTATGCCGAACAGTCGACTTATATATTACTAATAGCAGAGAAATTGTATTGATGTCTGTGACATTACAGGGTTTCAAGACTCCTGCGCTTCGGCTAGTGGGTCCGTCGCTCATCGTGGCCGGGCTCGCTTGTTGTCTACTACGTATTATGTTTTGCATATTTGCGAAACCTTGTTGTCGACGACGGACCAACTACAAGGAGAACAGAAGGTAACAACGTGGACTTTTGACCTTAAATTATATTAAACTATAGTAAATGAGGGTAATATAGTCATCCGGTTATTATGGCCACTTTTTATAACTCAAAAACTACAGCCTTGTTTGCATAGATGGCTAGTCATACGATGGCTCTTCATCGGTCACTCAAATAATAAACAGCAAAAAGGCGATGCTTTATCGACGCCATTTTGACAGTTGACATTAAAGTAAATATTTTAGTCGATTTTAGTATAGTGTAGTGTAGTAATTTTTTTAAATAAATTTTCGAAGTGTTCCTGATCATTGCCAAAGCTTGTTGGCTATTTTTTGAAGTGAAAACTTCTTTAGCATCGTTGTGATTTGTATCTGAATGAAACGAAAAAGCGACAGTGAAAAGGTGTTAAAAGTTACTCTGCAACCATCCGCTTCATTAAATGATGTGTCTTACCTAGTTTGAAGAGCACCTCCCGCACTCCCTAGCGCCGTAGAGTCTACATCACCTGAATATGCCTCGTGTAGAGGCGAAACACGTGTCGTATTATCGTAGATGGTGTTTCTTTCCTAGAATTGTAGTGTTGGAAGTAGTGGTGTTGGGAGAGCGTTCATATTTATGCACGTGCGTTAGGATTGATGTAATATATTTCATTAATCTTCTTGACTAAGACACAGATCACACGTCCTTTAGATGCGACGTAACTTGGCTACCCTGTGTCCTGGGTACACACTGGAGCATGAATGCCACTAGCGCACCGGAGTCTGTATGTATGTCCGCAATGACATCTACTGTAAGCGTCTCCGTCACCTTGTTGACCCCAGTTTCTCCACGATTTGGGTATTAATAGACACAGGAATGGATGAAATTATTTATTTTTGTGTCTACCGATCGCACAACGGTGACCAACAGGCAACCGAACGGGATAGCTACGATGTTCAGGTTACGTCCCCTTGGGAACTTCTGACCACTGTGTGTCTGGAGAAATCTGTATCCTTGCCTAGCTACGATTTCCAAGGTATGGGTCAAATGTGGTACAAGTCAGCAGATTGGGATAAGAACACTGCTTTGCATCTCATACTTGGCGGCAGATCTTCTTCTCATCTGAAAATCTGTCGTAATTCGCGGATGGTTTACCGATGTTATTCTTCAAGCGATGTAGTATTTCATTCTCCTTGCTGACGTGCTCATTGTTGGTAAAACTCGCGCATGGTTTAACTCGGAATGCGCTCACGCTGAAAAGAACAAGCATATAGCGTACTTATCTTGGATCGATGCTCGAGACTGCAAAGCCATAAGAAGAGAGCGTTTAACTAATACGATAATTTCTTCAAAAAGGCATTACTACAAGCCAGTTTCGAATGCATTAAACGTATCGGCGCAAAGCTCTCTGCCCAACAATCTGGCAGTAGAGCTTTTTGGTGTCTAGCTAAAGTGGTCGAAAGTACAAGCGTATGGAGTACTTATCTTGGGACGATGCTCCAGACCGCAAAGTTCTGGATGTTAGCCATAAGAAGAGAGCTTTTAACCAAGACGCCAAGTTCTGCAAAAAGGCATTACTGTTTACTGCAAGCTAGTTTTAAGTGCATTAAACGTATCAGCGCAAAGCTCTCTGCCCAAAAATCTGGCAGTAGAGCTTTTTGGTCTCTTGCTAAAGCGGTCGATACAAACTTGTGCATGTCTAGACAGTAGTAGCAACAGCGTTCAATCTCAATTACGTCACTGCGGTACCTCTAGGTCAGAGGTCCGGTACCAACTATAGTTATATAGGTCTGTGCGCCTGAGTTGTCTCCTGTGTTGACGCGCTTGTTCCGCCTCTCATTCGGGACTGGATAATACACAAATTTTGGAAGCTTGCTAATATGCAGTCTGTGCCTAAAAGGACAGTCTTGCTGAACCTGCCAACTATCGGCAAATTTCAATTACCTTCATAATCTGAAAAATTATGGAGCATATACTGAACGCCCATCTTATGGCATATCTGAGCAGAATGACCTTTCCATTTTCCATCGAACCGCATTTTACTTGACATGGTGGATGGATTTATATGTGCTGAGGTACGAAATCCAAATGAAGATCCTATATTATACGACATAATTACAAACAATATGATACACGGTCCATATGGGAACCTTGATTATAATTCTCCCTGCATGAAAGATAATAAATGTAACAAAAAATATCCCAGACAGTTTTTGAGAGATACACAGACAGGTGACGATGGTTACCCACGGTACAAAAGAATATCTTCGGCTGACGGTGGCTTTACACTTAAATTAAAAGAGTTTGAAGTAGACAAAAGGTGGGCGGACCCCTATAATAAACTTCTGTGACGGACATTTAAGGCACATATTAATGTAGAATTTTGCAATTCTGTTAAATCGATAAAGAACATTTGTGAGTACATAAGGGCAATGATCAGGCGGCTTTCGTACTAGAAAACAATAAGGACAAAGTTAAGTTATACGTGAATGTATGTCAATTGAGTAGTATGGAGGCAGTTTGGAGGGTTATAGGGTTTTCCATACATGAAAGGTTTCCCACAGTCATACATTTGGCTTTCCAACTTGAAAATAGCAAACGAGTTTTAATTCCGACAATCTCACCGACGAAGTTAATATCCCCCCTAAAAACGACAGTGTTAGCACTTTTTGATTTATGTCAAACAGATGATTTTGCTAAAACCCTTCTACATGCGAAAGTGCCTTAATATTTTGTATGGCAAAAAAATAAATTTGTGAGAAAGAAAAGAGGAAATCTCCTAGATGGCTGGCAGAAATAATGAAAGAACACGCTCTAGGTGGAGTGTACACAGTTAGGGGTCCATCATCCTTCCATGACTTAGAGAATGTCAACGATGTCTTCCAACCAATTTTTCAATTAGTTTGCATGAAACTTGGCTTGCTAAAGGACGACAAAAATTAGGATACTGCCCTAAAGGAAGCGGCCTTGTGCAAGTCGCCATTTAAAATGCGTGAACTTTTTTCTATAATGCTGGCGTTCTATCAGATTACAGACACACTAAGTCTTTGGGTAAAATACGGGGATAGCCTATCAGAAAACTACAAACGACAAGTGGAAAGGCTTTTAGGCATTATAGATGATAGATGAACATCAAGCAGATGAAATCTACAATAAATGTCTGGTCACAATAGGAGATGCTGTATTAGCATTAGGAGGACAAAGCCTACATCAGTACGGGTGGCCACAGCCTCAAATGTCTGAAGGCTTACACAATAACCGGGACTACCTGAAGGAAACAAGTTATGATGTCAATTCCTTAGTAGAACTTGTGTCAAGTAGTGAAGGCTATCTAACCAATGAACAAAGACATATCTATTATGAAATACTTTCCGGTATCGACGTAGGTGTAGGTGATATAATTTTTAATAGTCCTGGTGGAACAGGTAAGACTTTTCTATTGAATTTACTGTTGGCCTAAGTGAGAAGCAATCGTGATGTCGCCTTAGCGGTCGCATCGTCCGGAATTGCTGCCACTCCGCTGCATGGAAGTGAAACTGTGAAACACACTCCGCGTTTAAACTTCCTCTCGACTTGATACAAATCGAAACCCCACTCCGCAATATATCCAAACAAAGTTATATGTCAGAAGTACTCCGCAAATCGTTATTAATTGTTTGGGATGAGAGTACTACAGGGTCATAAAGGGGGTTTCAAAGCCGTTGACCTTTACAAGGTATTAGGAATAAAAATTGTCAAATAGGAGGAGATACTGTATTCTTAGCAGACGATTTCTGGCAGACTTTACCAGTAGTGCTCAGAGAAACGCGAACGGACGAAGTTAAAGCGTGCGTGAAACGGTCTCATTTGTGGCCTTTAGTGAGAAAGCTGAGCCTTACCAAAATATGAGAGTCCATCTTAGGGGAGATGTTACTGCCGGACAGCTCTCAGACCTGTTGCTTAAAATAGGAAATGGTGATTTCCCGGAACTGGATAATAAAATAATTCTCCCTACAAAGTTAGGTACAATTGTTTCCACTGTATTAATATTCATGATAAAACTGCAGAAAGGTTATGCGAGCGTGCCGCCCTAACACCAAAAAACGAACAAGCCTCAGTTATAAATGAAATATTTTTAAGATCATTCGCAGGTGTCGAATATCAATATAAATCCGTCTACTCAGTAATAAACACCGATGATACCACTCATTCTCCGGTCGAGTTCCTGAATATACTGAAGCCAACCGGTCTCCCAACTCAAATAATAAAATTGCAATTGCAATGAGCAATGGCACCAGATTGCAAGTGAAAACATTACATCGCAATGTATTATACTATATAATTATATATAATTATACTATATACTATAAATATATATAATTATACTGACAGCTTTGTTCTCGAGGTGAGTCTGTATTTATTCCTAGGATTCCCCAAACACCATCAAATTACCCCTTCGAATTCAAGAGAGTGAAGTTTCCTATCAAAGTCTGCTTCGCCATAACCATAAACAAAGCTTAAGGTCAAACTCTTAAGGTAGCGGGAGTAGACTTGAGAGAAGCTACTTCTCCCACGGTGAGTTGAATGTGGCATTCTCCAGAGTAACCACAGAGTAGCCTGGTGATTCTACCTTCCGAAAATAAAACAAAAAATATTGTTCACAAAGAAATACTGTGGTAGGTATAGTATTTCGATTTCTTGTAAAAAGATAATACCACCGTGTCACTTTCACCAGATTAAAGTCCGAGCTTCGTGTTCAGAAAATATAACGTATTTTAATTTTATTTTCATGTTTATTTATTCTTTCAATCCCTAAACTATAATAAAGATTGCTATATTTCACAAACATTCAAACATTTTAACATAATAATTTATATGTTATAACAAAATTAATAATGTAAAAAACCATTTAAAAATCCTATTAGAACAATTTTCTTCTACGCGGACGAAGTCGCGGGTAAAAGCTATTTTAATGTCAACGTGTGTAAAACAAGACTTATCTTTGCGTGTATAGTAAGAGTATAATATGGACTATGAGAGTGCAGCTGTTCCAAAATTAAGGCGATGTTGAAAACACTTCAGCGTTTTCACACTGATGATATCGAAGAGCTAATTTTGTGTCTAAATCAGTGTGATACGAGAGTTCGGAATCGATCCACCTACACGTATCGAAACGTGTAAAGTACAGTAAGCAATATAACACACAATACAATACAGTAAGCAGATGATGCTCTCAACCTGTTCAAATAAATTAAACTTAGTTTAAAGAAAAAAAAAATTACAAGTAGAACTATACATATTATGCCATGAGCTGAATGCTACTCGTACATTAATGTCTCGTTTCAGACTCTCGGGTGGCGCGGAGGGCGAAGAAATGCCGTTGGCTGGGGGTACGAGTGGACCTCGAGCTGGCCCCGCACAGTGTTCGCCAGCAAGGCGGCTCGACGCCTCCTCGTGCGATGTGTCCAGCCTGTCCAGCGGCGAAGAAGACGAGCGAATGCGTCGATATCGCACTGCAACCGCTCAGCCGCAGGCCATCATCGTTCAACAGGTGGAACATATTCTGCCACGTTTTAATATGCCGTATTTTATACGTGATAGAGCCACGTTGCAGCTATATTATGGTTGTAGAACGAATGGGTCGGCTCGACCGTTTTTTTTTTTATAGCGTGACAAACGAGTACACAGTCCACCTTGTGGTAAGTGGTGCTCGATTACGAATCAAAATGCAGATTAGTTGTCACCCGTAAGGACTTAGATGGAATGCCTCATTTCCAGTAAAAAGGGTATCCGGTTCTCTACACTCACCATACGAAACACAGCAACATTAAGCTACTATTTTACGCCGGTATTCTGTGAGAGCGTGGTCCGTCCCCTGTAAGTCGACCCATTCATACTATACCTATACTACTAATATAACTGCAGCATGGCTCTACCACGTTTCAAAAGGACCATGGCACTATGGTCCGTGCAGGACCATACTGCGATATATTCATATGGTGTGTGTAGAGAACAGGAGACCCATCTTAGTCCTGAGGGGTGGCAACGCATCTGCATTTTGGTTCTTAATCGAAAACAATGTAGATGTCTATGGGCCACAGCGTCCATTTACCATCAGGTAAACTGTGTGCTCCTTTTTAGTTTTACTTCAACCCAGGGATTGTGCTTGCTTTAAAATTAATTTGCAATCATAGTAAACAGATTTAGATCCCGTCCTGCTCCACTGTAATCGTTAATTGCTTAAGTGCTGATTTACCAAGTATTTCGCGTACAGAAAAACATAGTGAGGAAACATTTCAAGAATTTCGAGCACATATATGTGATATGATATTTACCAGATTGCAGACAGCAGCCCAGAAAGTAGACGACAAACAACGTAGAAGTTTTAATTGTTTCTGTTGCTTAATTGTAATGACAGGAAATCGTTTAAAACTCTCACTTCATAAACCCAGCTAGGCATAACAGTTTCATGGAAAAGGCAAAACTATTTATTTTAAAAAGAAACTCGTACGGGCAAGTCCGATGTAGGCAAGTACAACAGATGCAATAATGACCTAATGAGGCATGAATAGAATAGAATAAAAATTGAGTAGAATAATTTTTTATTCAATATAGATTACATGTTGTAATTCTTATTGAGTCATTTTTTACTTTACCACTGCTTCGAAAAAAACCTCTGTCCTGGGAAGAACCAGCAAGAAACTCAGCGGGACTTCTTTTAAAAAAAATAATTTTGCAATGTCAATGGTCACAAGCTATTTACGAAATTTGTTTTATTTGTCGGGAGTCGATGGATGCAAGTGACTCAGAAGTATGGTTTGTGCCAACAGACAACTGGCGGCTTTCCCACAAACTTATTTATTCATTCATTTATTTATCCCGGCCTATCAGATGCTCCACTGCTGAACTTAGGCCTGTGCCATAGGTTGTCTCATAGGGAGGTTTGTGCTATAGTTGTTGTTGTTGACGGCTGGAACTGCAATTTTTCGTTACTTTCTGTTTTTTCAGGAAGTTGCTATTGCCCTTTTCCTGTTTCAGTTTCCCAGTATCACCTCTTACGACACCCACGGGGTGATATGGGGTAGTGGATGTCCTTGCGCCGTCACTACCTAGCAACCACTAATCACATAAATTAAAACAATGTTTCGTTCTTAATAGGCAAGTACGCATTCACAAGCACTAAAACCGCCTGCGGTCAGCTCGGCGGGTGCGGTTTCGCCAACAGCCGTTCCAAGTACTTCAAATCCAGGCGGGCGCCGGCCGCCACCACGGAACGTATCCTTCGCCGGTGGTCCCGACGGCGAAATCGTACTCTGCCCCGCGCAGTTGCCCTCCTAACCCAGAAGCAATAAAGGTTGTCGCAATACTCTTTTTTATTACGCACTCCTTGGAAGAACCGATTCTATCTTTGAGCGTCTCGCTCTTAATTACGATCATGTGGTGCATAGCGTAAAACTCTGACCGTTTTAAAATTTAAGAGACGAGGTCGTCGATCATTTGCACGTTTGATTAATATACTATATCTAGTTTAAGTTTCGTTTGTTAGATTTTGCCTGAAGCATCAGGACACCTATGTAAGCTAAGTTTAATTTTTTTACTGCATATATTGTTTATGTGATGGGATTCAAAGAGGTGATAATACATGGAGTTTAATATATTTACGTATCGGACTAACATTTGTAGATCCAGCGAGCTATGTCTTGGCTCACACTTGGTTCTGTTTGTTGAAATTTGGCTCATTAAAATAAAAGAGACACGGTTGATATTTTCAATATTAAATTGTACAGCAAGTACTACCAACATGTGTAAACCTAAATATAATTGTTTAAATCAGAGACTATTATCACCTCTAAAATTTCAATAGCAATACTTGAATTGAATCTGTAAAACTAATGTAAAGCAAAATGTGTAGCGAATTCAATACCTACTCTACGTTCTGGTTCCATCCGTATCAATTCAAGGTAAATAAATTTATTAAGAGGTGTGGTGCATAAAAAGCGCACTGACGTAGGCGGTCATTTATAAAATTCTTTTTATATTTTCAGCATAGCATAGCTATACTATATGGATATGTATTCGAAGGATTCCTTCGAGCGATCCTAGTCAATGGATTTGATATTGCTTACGCGTAGTAATCTAAGAAATATTAAATTTAAAAAAAATGTGACCACACCTCAACGTAATTTTACAGTAAATAGTGAATGTAATATTAAAGAAATTGTTTTAAAACTGCCTATTATTAGATGCGAATTTATATTTAAATTAATATAAAATTCATAAAAATAGATTTATAACTGACAATAATGATTGTTAACTGATGTATAAAGTGTTATGCGTACTTACGATAATTTTATTTTAATTATGTCCAACAAAATGGAAGTAGTTCAATCGTCGAGTTACTTTATTTTATAAATTTTAAGAAAAAATATTTCATATAGGCGAAAAATTATGTTACTTATTACATCTTGGGTTTCCTTTTAAGGTCATTACTAAATTTTAATAACAATAGCGTTTGTTCTCTATTGATATAAAAAAAAATTAAAACAAAAATACTTGACGTCTGAACTACGAAAATACACCAATATTATTATATAATTAAATTAATACGATATATATTTAGCTGATAATATTAAAATTGGTGTATAGTGAGGAATACTGTGTGACAGTAATGTTTTTATGTATAAGATACTACTTATGGACAAATTTAATATTAAATGTGTGTTATGCGTGCATTGTATATGGCACAACATAGTAAATATTGTTTATAAATATATATTATACATATTTTAGAAATATTTGCACCTTTCGTAGTGAAATATTCAAGTGTATATCCGCGGAATTTAGCTACGATACCTTTATAAGGGGACTTACTTTTATTAAGCAAGTGAATAGAAAGAAAAAATAAATTTCTAAGTATCGTAATCAAGGAAAATTTTATAAGTGGTTAAAGAAATTTTTGATTAGTTTTTGTCAATTATATCTCTATCTTTGTAATCAGGTTATAAAGAGTAGTTGTTTTGGATTATTTAAATGTAAGAAAGGTCAATTACTTAATATTTATTTTATTATAAGATTCGTATTCTCGCTTTGTTTGGTATTTTACAATACATATATTGCATGAGATGGAAACACTTCATACAGCTAATTTTAACTCTAATTCAGTGATTATTTAAAATAAACACCTCAAAAATATGTGAAATATTAACGAGACAAAAATGTCGTACGCACATTTAAAATTTTAAATGTTTTTATCAATAGAAAAATTGTTTTTTCTTTATTGATTTCTTAATGTTTTAACAGATAAATTATTAGCGTAATTTAATTTTAAAACTTACACTTTACGATATTGGCTATGATTTTATAAAGTAAAATGTCTCGCACTTTTTAAAATCCTGAAAATTAAGCAATATACAAAGAATCGGTAGTAATATTTCATTATATTTAGATAATTATTCTTATAATTAAACAAACATATTAGAAATCGAATGCCTAAGTTAAAAATTGTAAAAGATTGCAACATAGAAATGTTTATGTAAATTCGTATTACCTCCAAATATACCAAATACTGACTCTACTTTTTACTAAATAAAACATCTTGTTGTCATAGAGGCGTTCCTGTCCTCGAAATTTCAACAAAATGAACTCAAGATAGTTTTTAGATTTAGATTACTGTATACGCTAGGTACATTCGAAATGATGCCGAAACCACACTCAACTTTTTGACACGCACACATTTTTATTTCTATCTTTACAGCCCGTAAAATTCCACTGCTGGACATATTACATGCACCTAAAACCATTTTAGATGCATATGTGTGCGTGATTGTGAGTTCCTACAATAAGTAAAACATGATTTTGGCTAGGTTACGGCATAGTAAAAACAGAATAGTAGGCGCTCTTCTAAGAAATGCAGCGAACGCCGAAAATATGTGTGCGTGCCTGGCACGTGACAGTACAGACTCGGACTCGTACGCACGAGCCACAGCACGCACACAACGACACTTGCTAAGTCGAAAAGGTCTGGCCGAGTCGGGGACGGCCACCACCGCGCTCCGCAATCACCTTTGTTTGAGACTTTGTTGACTTTTAAGTAAATTTTGCTAGCAGTTTTCTTTTCGTTTTATTTTTTCTTTTAGTAAAATAAATTAATATATGTGTTTGTTTAAGTAAATTTACTTTCTATTAACAGGTTATATTACTATATTTAAACATAAATACATACCTCATAAGTACATTAATTATCATATCACATCACAACATATTAATTTTAAACATTAAATCTGAGCTGACACCTATGCTCAGTGTCAAGTTACTCGTATTTTAGTTATTTAGCATTTGTTGTAATTTAAAGCTGGATTTTTTTTTGACCAACATTGATTCTTTGAGATAAAATTTAAGAAATTATTAACAAATACGACTTATAGGTACGTTCCCGTTTGTATTATGTTTGTAAATATTATAACTACTTATAAAACTATATGAAATTTAGCTGTTAAACAAAAAGACAACCCTGCAACAGTAGGCATTTAAGTCTCGCGTGGCGCGGGAGTTATCCTTCTATTCTGTTTTTACAATGTTTACGGCGTCACTTGAAATGTACCTACAAAGCGTTCCGTCTATCTTTCTTTGTTCATCTGAGCTATACCTAATAGATATAATATGATGAAACCTTACACCACCTTCAAATAACAAATTATATGTCTACGTAATCTGTACCCACAAATAGATGTTAAGGAAAATATGAGCTTTATTTAGACTTACAGGTGGCTTGTGTAACGAAGTGTTGTGTATGTTATCGAAGTAGATTCCCATTACACTATCATCTATCCCGCTTTTCACATTTCTATACACTATTTTTATCTGTGCTTCGTTCTCATATGAATTCTTATGTCAATACATTTTGTATTATCATAAACCTAAGGAAATGTAATTTTTGTACGAAATATTTATTATCATTCACCATCGATACCCACTATCAAGCGCACATAACTGGTGACAGGGTTCAGATTTTATATTTGTCTAAAAGCAGAATATTATTTATTTACTGTTTTACTACTTCTCAACAAAAACACATTTTCCCCAAAAATATTTTTACATAAAAAATCTGCTTATAAAATTATTACATCACTATGCAAAGGAACATATATTTAGGATATTTATCTAAAATTTTAACACCCTCAAGTAAGATTTTAACACGTTCAAAAATAAATAATTATTATTGGCACATACAGAAACTGACACTATAGATAATAATATACCTAACGTAAGATTATATATTTTATTATTACTTTCCAAAATTGTTAGTAAATATATTATTATGCATAAAGTGGCACTCATAAAGAAAATTTTAAGTTATCTTTTTCGGATTATATTTTTCCTTATAATCAGTGTTAATTAAAAGAAATAAAATGTTAATGTTTATAAATAGACAGTATATGTAGGTACTTACTAAAAAACACAATAGTTAATACCTGTTTAATAACAAAAGTTATATAACGACAGCTCCTTGCATCGGATTTGGATATTTAAATTTTTTAATAATATATTGAAGTATACACAGAATTTTAATTTCTAGTTATTCTTGTTAAATAATAAATATGAACATACAAGCATATTAGGAAGTGATTAATTTATGTGTGCTTTGCAATATCTAAGTAGACTATATGTATGAGTATGTATTTTTATATACGACTTCAGCTTACCTATAAATGTATTACCGTAAAGTATGTGTGCTTCCATATAAGCTTAAATAGGAATTTGATGATAATTTTCTCTCATAATTCTAGAAATGTTGGTAATGAATATAGCTATAAAGTATTTTATAAGCCATTTACGCTATTTTACGGCCTAATTTATAGCTACGTTTTGATTCTTCTCAGCAAACTGTATCGTTACTATTAAAAAGCTCCCGGTTCTGGCTATTATATGTTTCAAAGCGCTTACATAAATAAAATATAGAATTTATTCAAAGCAAATATAATTATGTGTACAAATAACAGATCAAAAATTATATGCATATTTGGGTGTTGCTATTCTATGTCGCAATAGAGATAAGCATATTGTCTGTTTTTAATTTTTATCTATATCATTATAATAAAGATAGGTACTATAATAAGTTAGAGCAATCTGTCTACTTTTCTTGTGATTACTTCTTGTATTTTACTTTGCTAACCCAGCACGTACGTGGGCGGCGCCAGAATTACTTTCAGATGCATCTATATTAATTTACACATTATACTGTTAACTAATATAGAATATAAAATTATACATTTTCATAGAGAAAGGGTAGAAAAGGATACTGAATGTGTTGACAAGATGATGAACAAATTTGGACAGCA